CTTTCTTTCTTTCTTTCTTTCTTTCTTTCTTTCTTTCTTTCTTTCTTTCTTTCTTTCTCTTTCTTTCTCTTTCTTTCTTTTTTTTTAGAGAGATTTTTGCTATAGGGCACATGCACTTGCCAGAGAGACAGAAAGGGAGAAATCCCCCCAGAGAGGATGGTCATGTCACCATCCCTTTTCCTTGATTTTCTTCTTGAAATTTTGGGCAGGCAAACACACACTCCTGGAGTGAGTTTCAAGCTGCCAGGTCCGGGACTCGAACCGTGATTGACTACATGAGAGTCCAGCAATGTAATCATTACACCATCTGCTGGTCATATCTTTGCACTCTTAAGCCTTTACATTTGGGCACATATTTAGAATCTGATAAATGTCTGTTGAATAAATGAATGAATAAAAGGTTAAATAATGTTACCTTTCCCTTGCCTTTTTTTTTTTTTACTTCATTGGAATCCATTTCTTCCAAACATGAATGGTTATTTTATTTTTAATTTCAGTGTTCTGCCAATGGTTTTGTGACCCAGACTGCCAACAACACTTGCCAAGGCTTTTGTGGTACCCTGGGATCAGGAGTTAAAAATGGAGGACAGGAGATCATTGAAATGGTGAAAGGAGGACATCAGACCTTGGAGTCCTGCAGGGGGGTCGGGCACCATCATCACACCCTGGATTCCTGCAGGGGAGGACACGTGGAGGTGGACAACTGCAGACACACCTACTCCGAGTGGCACAGTTACACTCAGCCCCGTCTCAGTGAAGTGAGTTTCTCTAGGTGTTTTGATTTTATATAGTTTAAAATTTGGAAATTGAAATCAATATGTATTTCCCAAAAGTGTTTTTCCATGTTCTTCAAGGTCCTCTCTCTTGTTTGCTTCAGTCATCTTTTTAATGCTCGTTGCTATCTTTACATTATTTTATTTTAAAGAGTTTCTTAAAAATACATTTAAAATTTAAGTCACATTTCACTTAATTTCTAAAATTCTAGAATTGTTGATGGTTGCCAATATTTGTCCCTAAAGTTTTATAATGAGGTATACATTCACCTCATGAATGTTTTTGATATAGAGGAATGTGAAAAGAAATCTCATTCATCACAATTGCAGACTTTCCAAATCAAATCTATATTTCTCTATTAAAAACACACATCTCTGTATGCACTTTTAGGATAAAGATGAAATATTATGATTTATATGAAGTGTGTTTTATTTAGAAATATTTATTACAAATTGGGTAAGTACTCTATATATTTTATGAAGTACAACATGATGATATGGTTTGTGTATACGATGATCAATGACTGCATTAAGCATATTAATACATCCATCACCCGCTTCGTGTGTGTGTGATAACATTTGAAATTTACTTGTAGAGATTTTGAAATGTATAATATACTATTCTTAATTAACCTTCTCTTTGCATTACATATTTTAACATATAAAGTACCATGCAAATATGAAGTGCTGTTATTCAGAGGAAAGGGATTAAGTGAAAAATTTCCAAGTCACATCAAAATTTCCCGGGAAGCTTTTAAACAATGCTAATGCTTCTGCCCCACCCTGAGAGATTCTAATTTAATCGGTTTAATTCTTTTTTTTCTTAATTTCTCAGTCAATTCAAAAGTGTCACTAAGGTAGAGAGTCGTAGATTAAATATTCTTTCTGGTGCAAGTTTTCAACCTTTTTAATCGGAGGGTAGTATTGTGGCACAAACACTGGGTCAGAAACCCTTAATCCTTGAATGAACTGAAAATGGGCAATTTCTGTGACAAGGCTGTAGGTTGCTAAATGTCCAGAGTGTTTAGGGGAGGGGGGTTAAATTCCAGAATTAATCCTTTTTCTGTTTCTAGAGAGTATTCATATAAGGTCAGGGTGAGAAGGAGCGAAGATTAAGAACATACTGTTAGGAGAATTCTTCAGTGTGCACATCAGGGAATGGGAGGAAAGTCTAAAAAGATAATTGTTAGGAGAATTCTTCAGTGTGCACATCAGGTAATGGGAGGAAAGTCTAAAAAGATGATGAGGAAAGACACTTTAATCCCAGCCCATGAGCTCGGGTAGAGAGGAGAGGGCACAGGGGAGGAACGGGAGGAGGTGCAAAAATTTGACAAGGTGGCAGACAGGCCATGGTGGGCGGTGAGGGAAGACATGGCTGAATGCTTGGTTTCTTTATTACAAAAGCCCAGTTTTTGCAATGTGGGTTATGTTGATTATTTTAGCATTCAGTGAATTTCTTTCCTTTTTTTATTTTTTTACCAGATTTAAGGCCACTGGGTCCGGGATTCAAACTACAGTCGACTACAGGGGAGTCAGGCAACATAGCCATTACGCCAACTGCTGTCTCTTTTTCTAAATTTTTTAACTGAATTTCTTTTGTGCACTTCTATATTGTGCCATATTTTGACTGTGTTGGAAACTTGACTCTGAGGTCAATGTGGTAATTCTTACCTACTTTATAGCTGAACTATAGTAGCAACTTTAGTGAACATTTATTGTACATTGACTATATGCTGGGCATAATAGGTATGTGTTTATGTGTTATTATTTCATCATAAATCTCCAATATAATTCTTTGATGGGTCATCATCTGTATTCCCACTTCAGACATGAGGAGAATCAGACTAAAACATGTCTAGTAACTTGCTCAAATGTATATAGCTAGTTGGTAAAACCAGAGCTTTGACTCAAAACCAGGACTGTTTGACATCTAAACTAAAATTCTAACCAATAATGTGTGTTGTCTTTCCATTTTATGGACTAGTCTGACTTCTAGGTATATAATTTAGGGATACTTTCTAATGCAAATCTAAATGTACTTAAATATAGTATTTGTATACCTAACTTATTTATATGGATTACTAGAAATGTAAAATAAACTGACTTTATGGTTTGGTTGTGATAGAGACCAATCATGTGCATTTTTTGTGTGTAGGACTCCATTAGAGGACACACTGGTTAAAAATTAAACATAAAAGGTAAATAAAAACAAATTTTATGTTTTACATTTAAGTTGTTTAAAACAATAATACAATCCCTTTTTAAAATTTTTCCAGAAATTGCACATATGTAATCAGGATCAACATCACATGCCATCTCAAGATTATGTCCTCACGTATAACTATGAAGGGAGAGGATCGCCCACCGGTTCTGTGGGGTGCTGCAGTGAGAAACAGGAAGAAGATGGACTTGACTTTCTGAACAATTTGGAGCCCAAATTTATTACATTAGCAGAAGCATGCACAAAGAGATAATGCCACAGTGCTACAATTAGACATGTCTCTGCCAGGCATTCTGGAGGTTTCCGAATAGGATATTGTAAAGTCATATACATATATATATATATATATATATATATATATATATATATATATATATATATATATATATATATATATATATATATATATATACACATACATATGTATATGTATATAACTTTTCTAAATTTTGAACTCTAATTGCTTTAAAAATTTGATATTTTTAAAAATATTTATATTTTAAAGCTATTAGGTGCTTTTCTGTTCTAAGAATTGTGTGATGGTAAAATAGACAACTAGCAAATCTTATGCTAGGCATTGGAATTAAGGTGTGTGTGCCAAAAGTCAAAACAGGAGAATGGAGGAGAATGGATGGTTGCATGGCCACACCCACTGGGG